CCCCCCCCCCCATATGTAATAAGCCCATCAAAAAATTGTAATGGAGAGGAAAAGACTGGAAACACCAATTCAAAACCTGTCAGGTAAACTGTAGCTTGGCAAACTGTAGTCTGACACCGCGTGAGAGGAAACAAAACTCATTTTGCAAACACAACATTTTGTATATAGCTACATTTTAATCTTGAGCTCACAAGGCGATATGTGCTTTAAAAATGTTTTCTATTTTTATTTAATGTTCCAATTGTCAATCGTTGCCAGTCAAATACTCATGGCACTTCCACAGTTTCACGGCTCCGTAGGAAAAGTCAGACAGTAAATTTTGGTACGCTTGCAGATATCCCAAATCCGTCAGTTCCGTCTCACAGAATTGAACCAAGTCCGACCTTAAACCATAGTTAATAGTAAACCTTGGACAATCCGTATGCTAATAAACCACATTGTATGAGGCCGTTATTTCCCCCAGTGCTCATAGGGGAACCGATGCAATGAAAAGTCATTTATCATTATATAGCTCTAAGTAATTCATCTATTTAGAAACTCTGACTTTTGGCTTATTTCGCGCGCCTTAAATGCGATATTTTCTCGCAATATTAATTTCGCGCATCCGGAAAGTTGAAAAAGTACAAAACTAGAAAATCACACTTATAAATGTTGAAAAATCCTAAGATAAAATTAGCACTAGTCCAAGTATAGTTTATTAGTGCCTCGGCCATACTAATATACTGATACATCATAGCACTTCCCATTTCGTGTTGTTGTTATATGTGATTGAGACTCGCTAAACTCCAGTGAAAAACTCTTTATTTTTTAAACTAATATATAGGATACAAATTTTGTTTCTAAATTTGACTCAGTTCGTTTTAAATGTTCAATCGCGAAGTTCTGTACAAAGACTGTACTTTGTCAAGAACAAATAGTGGGTGCATCACTTTCGCTCACGCACTTCCAGTCGCGCAATATTGAACATTGTCAATTCGCAAGCCACGTCTCCTAGGAAAAATCCGAAGCCGTGGTCTCTCCTTACTTTTCTTACATATTTTTGCGTCTTTTTTCACTGCTATGTTAAAACCGCATTGTTTGTGGCCGTTATTTCCCCCAGTAATTAAAAGTACTCTATAATCTGTCGCCAAACTCAAGTACTTTCAGGTGTGCTCTTATACCAATGTAGACTTGCTCCAAGGGTAAGCTGTAAAACATGGAATCTGGAATCTTGGAATCTTGGAATCCTGGAATTTTATTATATAACCGCAAAATATGTTATTGCCAAGATATTATTATACTTATGCAACATATTGTTCTGCATGCGATAATTTAACAGACCTTGGTAATATATTATCAGTATATACTATACGTCGCAGAATTTAATATGTCCATCTTGATGCCAATACATATTACATAATAATGTAAACGCTGTGTGCGCAACTGCGCATCTAAATAATATCGTCGGTTTATGATGAGAGCTAAAATCAAGTGCGTAGCAAGATGACCAATGTTATAGCGGCAGTGCGTTAATCTAGCCGCGCTTTTTGGCGGCGAAATTCAAACATACAATGCACCCATACATGAAATCGATCATCAATAACATTATAATATAGAACTTTAAAACTAGTGTAGACTGTAGAGGAGGAGTCAAAGTGGCTTATTGTCTTATAACATAAGACATAACCTTAATTCGTTGAATATAGACTATATATATAATATATGAACTCGGCAGTTGTTCGCAAGTGTGGTATTTTTGACGGAATACGAGGTGTTATAGTGTATCTAATTGAGGTTTTCCTGATTGCAATGATTTGTACTGTTTAATAAACGAGAAGGAGTGTTTTATTAGGTTTAATTAAAGCCACGAGCGCACAACGCGAGTAGCTTTAGACCTAATAAAACACGACCTGCGAGTTTATTAAACGGCTTCAAACACGACTACAAATTCAATAGATATAGCCTACTGCCTTATTAGTATTCTTTTTATAAAGAATACTAATAACGGACACGACTACAAAAGATACTGCCTTATTTAAAGCCACTGCACGTGACATATTATGGTTGACATGATTTGCCAATAAGCTTATGAATTATTAATGAGTGTTTAAAATATACTGTATGTGGTTTCTTTAGTTGCCTCCCGCCTGGTCATCTTGCTACGCACTTGATTTTAGCTCTCATCATAAATCGACGATATTAACTATATTATTTAGATGCGCGCACAGCGTTTACATTATTATGTAATATGTATTGGCATCAAGATGGACATATTAAATTCTGCGACGTATAGTATATACTGATAATACATTACCAAGGTCTGCTATAGTTCTGCTAACTCACCAAGTATTAAATTATCGCATGCAGAACAATATGTTGCATAAGTATAATAATAATATCTTGATAATAACATATTTTGCGGTTATATGATAAGATTCCAAGATTCCAAGATTCCAGGATTCCAAGATTCCAAGATTCCAGATTCCATGTTTTACAGCTTACCTTGCTCCAAGTCTCTCTTTCATTGTCATATAGTATCGGTCCACTATAGTGTACATTACATGACGTAGTGCGGAGGAGTGGACGTCATGTAATGTACACTATAGTGGATCGATACTATATGACAATGAAAGAGAGACTTGGAGCAAGTCTATTACCGATGCTGCAATGAAACGTAAACGAAATCAAATAAGGTTTGACTGATGAATTGAATTGATGAGTGTCTCATTAATTCTCATAAAAGTGTGTCATTAAACAACACTTCCGGAAAAACAAGTCTATTGTATAATCTTTATACCTATTAATAAATCTTTGTCTTGAAAAAAGAATAAATGCATGCGCCCAAATTCGAAATTCAATTATATCTCGTTCGCTTGTACCGTTGCACGAAGAAGAATCCTTTACAGAATATCAACCTTAAAACAAGAAGATGAACATTTTAATTGCACTTTGTTTTATCATTGTTTTCGCTTCTAATGGAAACCAGGTCCAGGTAACTTTACGGCATATGTCTCTTATTAAAACTATATTTCAATTTTGTATTGATTATTAGTCTTTGAATCACATGAACAATAATAGAGTTGAGAAGCAGTATAGCCATTTCATACAGACAAACAGGGTGTATTCTTAAAACAAAACAGAACTGCATGTGTGTTATATATTGTTAACAATCGGGCCTCAGGGAGCATGGAATAGAGGACTTGTCTGTCACCATAGTTCGGACAGTTCTCCTTAAAGACTGAAAAAACTTTTTAACCTAGGGAGCAAGCTGTAGTTGTAACTGCAATGATGGAGGTTCAACGTGTCCAGGCAACACATACGTCGTTCCAAAGAGATTAGTTAAACAATGTGTGTTCCCTAGTATGAATGAAGACAAGGACAGTGGACCACTGAGTGTAAGTATAACTGATATTAATAAGCGTATCAAGCGTATCTATAAATTCGCTACCACCGCAAGTTTAACTTTCAACTCGCGAGCGAGCAGTCGTCTTGGATCGTTTGCCGCTTAGATTGTAATCTAACTTTATATATCTTGGGCGAAATATAGCGAAATGTACCAACTAACACACACACACACACACACACATATATATATATATATATATATATATATATATATA